CTTGGCTACTGTAGAGAATGTTTGGTTTTCCCGACTTACTATACTTCACCCGGGAAACTCTGCAACCCTAGATAGAATGTATATGCCTTTCATTTAAAATAATAGCCCAAAAATACATACAAATCATTAGGTATATTTATAGCTTTCCTCTATTTCTAGCAGCTTATTCTTGCCTATTTTGTAATCATGTTTTTTAAACCTTTTGAATGATCCAAATTGTGTTTGTATTTTGTCATTGCGCAGCAATAATGGGGTAACTTGATTTCATATAAATAGACTGTTTTTTTGTCCTGCCTGAGTGAGTAACTCGCCTTGCCGGGTAACTCGCCTACTGATGTACTGATATCCATATTGGTGTATCAGTCATCTTTGAATTTCGTGAAATGACATGTATTATCGGTATCGGCAAAGTATTGGTCTTTTATTATCAGTTATCAGAATATCTGTGAATTTCCATATATCGGTGCATCACTAAAACAGTTCAAGATTGTGTTTATATGAGAAAATGCCATCCTGCTTGCCGGGACAATTTTGTTATGTTGACATTGTTTTGACAGTTGTTAAAAATAGGTTGCAGCTCGGCATCTTGAACATTCATCCTGGCCCAGCCTGCTTGTGAGTGCATATGTGGAGAAATTTTCATCCCAATAAGCAACATTGTGGATCCATATAAACACATGATAATTTTTTCTAGATAAATATACCTAAGGCAGTAAGATCTTGCTTACCGGGCTGTCCCGCTAAGCGGTCCAGCCCAGCTTCCATATAAATACATTGTACAGCTGGTTTAAAGAACCATGAACAGCAACCAGAAGTAAACTATACTGTCAGTAACTGTGTGATATGGTATTGGATAAATTTTCATCCCAATAAGCAACATTGTAGCATCAGAGCCAGCCTGCTTGTGGATCCATATAAACACATGATAATTTTTTCTAGATAAATATACCTAATGCAGTAAGATCTTGCTTACCGGGCTGTCCCGCTGAGCGGTCCAGCCCAGCTTCCATATAAATACACTGTACAGAGCTCTGGTTTAAAGAACCATGGACAGCAACCGGAAGTAAACTATACTGTCAGTAACTGTGTGATATGGTATTGGATAAATTTTCATCCCAATAAGCAACATTGTGGCATCAGAGCCAGCCTGCTTGTGGATCCATATAAACACATGATAATTTTTTCTAGATAAATATACCTAATGCAGTAAGATCTTGCTTACCGGGCTGTCCTGCTAAGCGGTCCAGCCCAGCTTCCATATAAATACATTGTACAGCTGGTTTAAAGAACCATGAACAGCAACCGGAAGTAAACTATAATGTCAGTAACTGTGTGATATGGTATTGGACAAATTATTACATTTCTATTGCAGCTTTGGTGCGTGAATAAGGGATAATAGTCTACTGGGCACTTGCCACAAGAAAATGATAACTGAATCCAGGACATCTGTATCTGCCTACAGCCATGTCTCTGCTTAATAAAATTTATATAAAACATATGTAGTTTAATACTCCCTCATTCGTCTTCTACCAATATGAACAGGTGATTGGCCGATTATAACATTAAACAATAAACCCTTTGTATTAGATAAGAATGATATTATATTATAAATAATATTAAATTAATTATATTAATGAATTATATTATAAATGAATTATATTATAAATAATAAGTCATAAAATTAATACTCGTCTGTCTTTTTAACATAGACAGATTTTCATATTTTTTACTGTGGTGCATGGTGCCAGAAATTTTAGGGGGGGGGGGGAAGCCGTGAGCAGGTGACTGAAGCATCACAAAGTGTTACCATACCCCAGTAAGGTCTATATTCTAGAGGTGGAGCACTAGAGATGTGAGGGGGAGTCTAGAGAGCAGAAAACAAAGTATCCCTGGAGAAATTTAAAAAAAATCATGATTCCTAGCTTTGAAAAAGTTTTTTGAAGTGGTCATATCAATGGATTTGGCATGTCCGATTGTCTGATGAGACTTGGGAGTGTTAAACGTAAAATGAACCTAATAGGCCAATACACAATATGCTTTTACCAGTTTTATAAAGTCATTGACATTGTGTCGTTTGAATCCGAATACATTTTATGATGCAACTCCGATGTAAATAATAATTGGGGCATAAAGATTAAATCTAGGCAAGTCTATTTCCTAAAAGAATTAAAAACTAAAAATAATGTTCGTAAAAAATCCAAATGTTCCTTCCGAGCAAGCTATTTGCATGAGAAGGCACTGCAAACTCTATTCAGGGGAGATAATAGAGTTTCAAAACTTTACAATTTCTCCAATAAACCAGTGAATGCACTGTCTTTTTCTATTTGAGTGTACGCCTACGTTTATTTTATATCATCAACACTCTGCGTGTTGGAGTGGACTATTTAATTATTTTTTATTATGCCAAATGTTGGGGGGGGGTGTTGAAATAGTTTTTTGGAGGGGTGGTCATTTTGTTTGGGGGAGGAGTTATAGATAATATTAGGGGGGGGTAGCAACCCCCCCCCCCCACAAAATCCGTCTATGATTTTTAATCTAGTTAACTTAGGTAAATGAGGAGTGATTCAGATTAGCAAGCAAGTCTCCAGGTCTATTGTTCCTGCAATTTTGTATATATTGTATATAACTATTTCAATTAAGGTTGTCCCCTAAGCAAAGCAGAAAAGTCGAATGCAAGCACGAAAGGCTGCTGAAAATCGCTAATAAATTCATTTATATTTCTGTATACACCACATATAATACTTAGAGTGATGCTTACATTCTCAATATGTAAGTAAATTTTTATTTGCATGATGTGTTTGGAACAGTGTTTAATGTGTATTATAAAGAAATCTATGGACTTTGAACAAACGGTTTGTCAGATAATATTGCTTGTCATGTCGAAAGAGTTGAAAAATTACTGCTTCAGGTCTTCAGGAGAACTTAAATTTGCTACAACACATTCCTGTGCAATCAGAACTACACCTAGTTGTGTAACAGTGCAGCTGAAAAAAGAACTTGTATAAATTGACAATAATTTGATGTTTTGTATGTTACTCTGAGTGTATATCCACACCCGGCAGGCTAAAAAGTTAGCCTGACCATGGTGGGAATCGAACCCGCAACCTTTGGGACACTAGTCCAATGCTCTGCTAACTGCATATACACTCAGAGTAACGTCAAAAACAATATTCACCTGAGTACCTGTACATATAAACACCCAAACAACACATTCTTGATAAGAAAATTCTTTTTAAGAAAAATTTCTTGATTTGAGAAATTATTTTCTTAAAATAAGAAATTATTTTCTTATTTTAAAAAAATTTTCTTATTTCAAGAATTTTTTTTCTTGGGAGAATAACAAGAAAATTTTCTTAATAAGAAAATTCATTTTAAGAAAAATTTCTTGTTTTGAGAAATTATTTTCTTAAAATAAGAAATTATTTTCTTATTTTAAGAAAATTTTCTTATTTCAAGAATTCTTTTTCTTGGGAGAATAACAAGAAAATTTTCTTAATAAGAAAATTCTTTTTAAGAAAAATTTCTTGTTTTGAGAAATTATTTTCTTAAAATAAGAAATTATTTTCTTATTTTAAGAAAATTTTCTTATTTCAAGATTTTTTTTTCTTGGGAGAATAACAAGAAAATTTTCTTAATAAATAAGAAAATTCTTTTTAAGAAAAATTTCTTGATTTGAGAAAATATTTTCTTAAAATGAGAAAATATTTTCTCAATTTAGGAATTTCTCTCAAGAAAATTTTCTTAATAAGAAAAATTTTCTTAAGAAAATTTTCTTATTAAGAAAATTTTCTTGTTATTCTCCCAAGAAAATATTTTCTTATTTCAAGAAAATTTTCTTAAAACAAGTTTTTTTTTTCTTAAAATAAGAAAATGATTTTTTGCTGTGTACCAACTCACAAATTTCAGCGCCGTCGAAACTACCCATAGTGACGTCAAATAAACTGTTGCTTCCGTCTTTTTTTGTCCATAATTTGCCGTTGCCGAAAAGTAGAGATTTCCTTGCATGTTTTATTATTGAAATATCGTTTTCGGTAATAGTAGTCAAATCCGAAGCCCAGGCCAATGCTTCATTTAAAATTTTTTCGGAAATAGATGGGTAAAAATCCACAATATCAAATGAAATAAAACTGTGCCTGTCTTTATCGTTTATATTGCCAAACCATGAAATTACTTGTTGCGTATTTCTCCATTGATTTGAATTTAGTTTTTGTCTCAAATTGGAATTAATTTTATCTAATTTATTATGGACAAAAAAAGACGGAAGCAACAGTTTATTTGACGTCACTATGGGTAGTTTCGACGGCGCTAAAATTTGTGAGCTGGTAGGCCTTTTCATTTTAAATCACTTAGGTAAGAGGTTTGGCAAGGAAAACATCGGACTTTATAGAGATGATGGTTTGGCTATTATAAAAAGCAAATCCGCCCGTTTACTAGACAAAACTAGAAAAGAGCTACACAAAATTTTCGAGCAATTTGACCTGAAAATCACCGCCGAAGTAAAGTTGAACGTTGTAAATTTTCTAGATGTTACTTTCGACCTGATCAACGCAAAACACAAACATAGTAACTTTGATCACGAATTTACGTACACTCATGCAGTATGCACCGCAACGGACACGTAGGAATAGGCAACGCAACATAATTTGGTTCAACCCACCATTTAGTAAGAGTGTTAACACGAGCATAGGACGGGAATTCTTAAGTTTAATTGACAAACACTTCCCACTACAGCACAAACTACATAAGATTTTTAACAGAAACACTTTAAAAGTAAGCTACAGTTGCATGAACAACGTTAAGTCTATAATCACCAAACACAACGCACATATAATTAGGAACAGTCAATCACAGAATATGGAAACTGACAACTGTAACTGCGACAACAAAAACACTTGCCCACTACCGAAACAATGCATGACCAACAAACATTATTTACAAAGCAACAGTCACAACGAACAACACGAACGACACTAAACACTACATCGGCATGACTGCGACTACATTTAAGGAACGTTACGCTAACCACACTTCATCTTTTCGTCATAAAAAAGACTCAAACAAAACGGAACTTTCGAAACATATTTGGAAATTAAAAGAAAACAATCAGGATTATACCATCAAATGGTCAATTTTAAAACACGCTATTTCGTACACAGGGGGATCAAAACGCTGCAATTGATGTTTGGAAGAAAAATTTTGCATTTTGAAAGACATAAACAAAGACAATTTACTCAATAAAAGAAGCGAAATTTTCGGCAAATGTCGTCACAAAAACCGGTTTCGAGTAAACAAGGTCGTTAACAAAACCTAATGACCCAAGCATGCATTGTTTCACCTATAAGCATTGTTTCGCCTACACGCATTCCGCACATTCTTTCTATTGCATAAAAGCAACCTACAATTTCGAAATTATTCACCACCTGATGATTCCTATACGGATGAAACAGACTGTTGTGGTTTTTTTGAGGTAAAACGAAAAACTATATTACGCTCTATCTATATGGTATTGAGCACTGTTTGTGTTTCGTAAACCAAAATCTTACGCTATATATATATATATATATATATATATATATATATATATATATATATATATATATATATATATATATATATATATATAAGGGTTATCTGAATTCCTAATATCAAAACTAAGCTAAAAATGTAATTGCTTAACTGCGAAAGGCTGATTCTAAACCTGAACTTGCATACATAATTTAAATTACACAAGGGCCTCTTAGGCCTGTTAGTGTAATTATGATTATACGAGCAAACGAAGGGAGAAATATATGGGAAAACATATGGTAAAGCTTGTCTTACCGTGCTCTAACTCACGTTTCAACGCTTCCGGAACCGGAAGAGAAAAGAAAGAAAAGAATGGGTCACATTACGCGGCATATAAATACGCCAATCTCCCGGTGCCCAATCGGCTATTTTGAACACGTCTGAACAAACAGGGTACGGGAGGAAAACCGCTTGACGGTTAAAGGGTGGGCATATATACTTCTCCTTTCGTTTGCTCGTATAATCATAATTACACTAACATGCCTAAGAGGCCATTGTGTAATTTAAATTATACTTCACAAACTCCGGTCGAAATATATGGGAAAACATATGGTAGATTTCAACGTAATAGACCAATTGCGAAACTTAGTAGCCGCGCCTTCATACTGCACGAGAACGAGGCTTATTATGCAAAAACAAAACAATTTCTATATTTTTATAGAGCGAAAAGTGAATTTCCATGTTCATATCTTCGGTTAATTGTATACGATGTAGACAAAAATACAACTGTTAGAACCGCTGTTTCACAATCTCATGTCGACCTAATTTTGTTTGTGTACAGTACAACGCAAGCGATTTATAAGTTTTTAAATCGTTAAGATATGTGTTTTCTAAAATACGTACCGGATGTTCAACACAACAAACATATCCTGAACTTTGCCGGACTATATCTTCGCTCGAATGAAAGCTTTCGAGACAGAAATACCACCTTTAGAATCACCGTATCACAATCTGTTGATGTCTTGAATTTC